CCTTGAAAACAAGACCAAGTAGCGCCAACGAGGTCAACCCACTTCTATAATAATTTTTAGCTCATTTTTGCTGTATTACGCTAAGTAATTACTTGTACAATACCCATAAAGGAAAACTAGTGGAAAGGAGAAATAAGATTAATTGGAAAAAAACGTGCATACCTTGCCTTAAACATAGATGCGCAACTAGACACATTAGTGGTGTATATATCTATCATATTTTTCAAAAATGATAGCAGTAAAATATTTTGTAGAAGGTAAATCATTAAATATTCAATATAGGAAATGTATAAGTGATTGAAACCAAAAGTAAATCAAAATTATATAATTTATTCGAAGGTATGAAAACCAAGATGATGTGGCTTTTTGTGTGGTCGCAGTGTTCTTTTGTTGTATAGAAGTTGTTTGAACTTGATTTTGTAACTTGGTCATATTGGTAGGAAGACTTAGAGGAACGCACCTTGTCCGAAGTCCATTGTATGCATCATCATTTCCAAATTCAGACCGTGGTACATTCCCAAACGTTTCGCCGGCATCGTCAGTGAGTCTCGCCATTCGTAGCACCACGCAACAACTAGTCAAAGAGACAAGTGAAGTCGATCCTTTGATCAAACGTGTGCTAAACAGTTTTTGTATCTCCCCCTCTGCCTTTGCCTATTCACATATCCTATATCCTCCTATCACACCTTAACTATCACGATTTTTTACTTGCTTAATTAAATGTCGTACGATGTTCCCTTTTTTAGCGGCTTTCATCAGAACCCTCCGCACTCCATGCTGGCCTTCTCACCCCCTTTCATCCTTGTGATGAGAATGTTGATCAGATTCTGCCACATTGTTACGCAGTCCTCCTTCCCTAGGTCTTACCACAGTCTCTATCTTGCCCCCATAAGATCCGCCTGCCTTCTCCCTGGTTCACATATTTCACTCGACCCCTGCCACCCCATCTGTGCCACTCGAGGCGTTATTCGTCGACCCCCGCGTCTTGGTGACTTATTCAAGGATAAATCGTTTGAGTAACTGCCATGGTCAGGCCTTTGCCACATGCACCACGTCTCTTATAAAAACTACCTTCAGCCCACTAGCTCCCATCGCCGCCGCGTCTATCCTGTTTCTATTTTTAATACCAAGTCTATGACTTGCCATGTCCTAGTCGCTTGTGTGGCAACCCACAAATGTTTTGGTACTGCTTGCTTTGACTAGCTATTAGAGATAGAAACAGGATAGACGCGGCGGCAACGGGAGCAAGTGGGCTAACGGTAGGTTTTATAAGAGACGTGGTCCATATGACAAAGGCCTGACCATGATACCTTCTCAGAGGCTTGAGCCTCGAATTAGTCACCCAGACACAGGGTAGGGCCAATAACGCAGGGGTCGAGTGAAATATGTGAACCAGGGAGAGGGTTAACGAATCTTACGAGGCAAGGATGAAGCGAGGTGAGAAGGCCAGCGTAGAGTGCGGAGGGTTCTCATGAAAGCCGG